TGCTTTTACCAGTTCTCCAAACATTTGCTGCTTCTTGCTACAGCCATTCTCTGAGCAAGCCCCTGGGGTAGAGAGAAGAGCAAGATGCAGCCTCTGCTCTTCAGGACAGGCTGGTAGACCAAGCACCCAAATGCAGCCCAGACATCACCCAGGTCAGCCATCACATAAAAGTTGATGCCCTGTTGCAAATCCCCGTCCCACACGGTCCTCGTTTCCTATTGCCGAATGAATCGTCCCTCACTTGGTGGCTCACAGCAACACACACTTTTTGTTTATCTCCTGGTGTCCACGGGTGAGGCGTCTGGGCCGAGCTGAACTGGGTCCTCCTTGCAGGCTCTTGGGAAGCAGGGTCAAGGGGTGGGCAGGGCTGTGTTCCATTCCCAACTTGGGTTCCCAACTAGGTTTGTGTGGTTGTTGGTCTTTATGGTTGTAGGACAGGTGCCACTCTCATGCTGATGGCCAGCTGGGGGCTGCCCCCAGACCCCTGAGCCACTGCAGTTCTGTGCCACACAACCCCCTTCCAGCAGGGCTGCTCACTGCAAGGCTGATGCAGGCGCCTCTCGATCTGGGGCCAGGGGTGGGCAACATGTGGCCTGCAGGCCATATGAGGCCCATGAATCATTTGGTCTGGCCCTGTCAGGGCCACTGCAGGCGGGACTCGGAATTCAATAAATCTATTGCAGGTTAAGTTTCAAGTTATAATTTTGTATGGCCCATGAATAATGTTAAATATATCGAAATGGCCCTTGGCAGAAAAACATGGCCCTACCTCTGCTCCAGTCTGTGAAGACAGCCTTATATGAGGTAACACAGTTGCTCCCATTGTCTTCTTCATATAGCATAGTGTGAGGAAGGGAGTGGTGCCCCATCGCCTTTGTCATACAATTGTCAGAAGCAAGTCACCAGTCCAGCTCTCACTCAGGAGGGCACTGCACAAGGGCAGGAGTCACCAGGGATCACCTGGGGCCATGCCCAGCACGTGGGTGTGCATACATGCGTACACACACACTCACACATACATACTCGCATTCACTCACACACATATTCACACACTCATACAAACACACTCATACACACATTCACATACACACATTCACATACACACTTATACATACACTCATACACACTCACACATGCACACTCACACTCACACACATATTCACAGACACACTCGTACAAACACTCATATACACACGTTCTCATACACACTTATACACACACTCATACACAGACACACACATTCACACACAGATTCACACACACACATTCAGACATACACATTCACTCACGCATATTCACACACTCACTCATACACACATTCACATACACACTTATACACTTATACACATACACACTTATACACATACACACTTATACACACATACACACTCACATTCACTCATATTCACAGACACACTCGTACAAACACACTCATATGCACATTCACATACACACTTATACACACACTCATACACACACATACACACATTCACATACACACTTATACACACACACTCACACATACACACTCACATTCACTCACACATATTCATACACTCATACAAACACACTCATACACACATTCACATACACACTTATACATACACTCATACACACTCACACATACACACATTCACACACATATTCACACACTCATACAAACACTCATATACACACGTTCTCATACACACTTATACACACACTCATACACAGACACACACATTCACACACACTCAGATTCACACATACACATTCACTCACACACATATTCACACACTCAAACACTCATACACAAATTCACATACACACTTATACACTTATACACTTATACACACACTCACACATACTCACATTCACACATATTCACAGACACACTCGTACACACTCATACACACATTCACATACACACTTATACACACTCATACACACACTCACACACATTCACTCACACATATTCATACACTCATACAAACACACTCATACACACGTTCACATACACACTTATATACACACTCATACAAACTCACATATACACACATTCACTCACACACATATTCATACACTCAAACACATTCATACACACATTCATATACACACTTATACACACATTCATATACACACTTATACACACACACTCACACATACACACTCACATTCACTCACACATATTCACGGGCACACTCAGATTCACACACATATTCAGACATACACATTCACTCACACACATTCACAGACACACTTGTACAAACACACTCATATACACACACTCACATACACACTTATGAACATTCATACAGACACACAGATTCACACACACATTCAGACATACACCCACATTCACAAACACTCATTCACACACACTTATACTCATGCACACACTTGCACAGACACACTCATTCACACACACAGATTCACACACTGATACACACATTTACACCCATGCACACACAAATTCAGACATACACACACTCATACACAGACACACATTCATACACACATTCACACAACACAGACACACTCATTCACACACACATTCAGACATGCACACACTCATACACACACTCACTATATACTCACATTCACACATTCATACATACACATTCACACTTACACTCAGACACACACACTCATACACACAATCTTTCACACTCATATACACTCATACATTGAGACATACACACACTCATACACAGACACACACAATCATATACACACACATTTATACACACATACTCATACACACAGACACACACTCACACATCATATAGACTCATCCAAATTACAGGAGGTTGAGTAGAGTCTCAGATCCTGTTTCTGCCAGATTAGTCCACTGATAGGACTCTCAGCTGTCACTTCTCCCCCAGCTTTGGGCTCGTTTTCTGTTCAATGCCAGTGGAAGACAGAGCCATCCATACAAGGCTGTGGTTCATGACTGGCTTTCAGCACCAAGAATTTAAAATTCCAGACAATCCTGTTCTTCAAATTCTCTCAGGAGGTGGCTGGACCATATCCTCTCCTGTTGTTCGTCATCCTTGTCCCCAACGACTCCCATCTCCAGTGTCTGGTTAACTGGTATTGCCAGTGGCTCATCATTCTGATGCCTTTAGAGCTGAAACTCAGTTGAATTGAGGAAGTACTTCACTAGACAAAGGCAGGACCCTCCCTAAGTGGAGTGCTGGAGCCAGGCCTGGAGATGGAATTGCAAGCAAACAATTGCAAGATGATGGTGGTTTATGTCCAGTGTTGCAGTAGAAAGGCATCAGGGTGCTGTGGGGTGTCAGGGAGGCTGCTGTGAGATGACAAGCGATGTGTGTGACGGTGCAAGTGGCAGGGGCTCACTGACTGGATGTGGTGAGAGTCATTGATGTGTTACCACCACCACCACCATCATCATCATCATCTCTGAGAGTACTTGTGGCTAAGAGTAGGCAGATTCCCGGCATGGGTCAGAGTCACAAATTTCAAACCAAATGGCCAAACCCAACAGGCAGTTGGGAATCTTGTTCAGGGTTCTAGGCAGGGGTGGAAACAGATTCTGTCTGCAGATTAGCAGGTTTATCAATCAGAAAATGAGATCAGGGCCACCAAAGGCCAGAGCCAGGCTGTGGGGTCCAGCCCAGGCCTGGAGCAGATGTCCACATGCCCCCTTTCATCACGTCCTTGCTGTCACACCTGAGACACTTGTGTTGATCTTGCCCGTGAACTTATGGGGACAGACACCACATTTTTTTTTTTTGACAGGCAGAGTTAGAGACAGAGAGAAAGGTCTTCCTTCCATTGGTTCACCCCCCAAATGGCTGCTATGGCCGACACACTGTGCCGATCTGAAGCCAGGAGCCAGGTGCTTCCTCCTGGTCTCCCATGCGGGTGCAGGGCCCAAGCACTTGGGCCATCCTCCACTGCACTCCCGGGCCACAGCAGAGAGCTGGGCTGGAAGAGGGGCAACTGGGACAGAACTGGCACCCCAACTGGGATTAGAACCTGGAGTACTGGCGCCACAGGCATAGGATTAGCCTAGTGAACCGTGGCGCCGGCCCAAACACCACATTTTCATCGCTGGATGCCAGCTCTGTGTTCCCAGTATCTGCCATGTAGACATTGGATGAAGGAATGAACAAAAGCCAAAAGAGCAGGCACAGAACCTAGGAGCTGAGAGTGAGCTTGCACTTTGTGCTGCCAAGCGGCCGTGGAGAACTGACTCAGACACCCAGGGAACCTGACTACGAAGGTTGTCCACCAAGAGGATGAGCTGTTTTCCTGTGCCTCCCCTCCTACTATGCATATACATACACAGAGTGTATATAAAGATAATATTCTCCAAGCGTTGGCCCCCTGCTGCAGCCGAGCAGAGGTATGAGCCAGGAGATCTCTCTGTGAATTGTAAAGGCTCAGTGTTCAGCAGTGTTTGGGATGACGGATCCTGTTCTTTGCAAAACAGCTCTGATCATGGCCAGTGGCTGGGATGGCTTCCTGCAGTAACATTGACTGTACAATGAGTACTCTCCATACACGGTGACAGAGCCCCTCTGCCTCTCTGGGTCTTTGGAGCAAATTGTGTTTTCACACTAAGAATTATAAAATACATTTTAAAATTATCATCCTGAGTGTTCAGAACGTGGCATCAACTTGCATATATTCTTGTGATTGTACTAAAATCGCATGGTCGCTTGGGTTCTTTCAGGAGTCTGCAGGCCCCCAGGGCTGGGACCGGAGAGTCTAGTTTGCCTTCTCACTAACTTCCTCCACTCACTAGCCAGCTAAGTAAAAGCGTGCTCAGCCTCTCTCTCGGCTGTGTTTTCTTTCACTGGGATAAAAATTCCTACCTTCCTTACAGACTGTCATGCAGAGTCTGCAGATCTACATGTCAGTGTCCCATGAAGGAGGTAGCTTCATCGGGCTGATGCTTCCCCTCACCCACACCTGCAGAGCACACCAAGGCTAACAGTTCTTTTCTCTCTCTCTCTCTCTCTCTCTCTCTCTCTCTCTCTCCTGTGCCCCAGGTTCCTGATCGTGCTGGGCTGCTTGATCCTGGCTGTGCTGACCACATTCAAGGAGTACGAGACGGTCTCTGGAGACTGGCTCCTGTTGCTGGTGAGACACTGGGCAGTGAGACATTGCCTAGCAGAGTGGACACCTCTGCTGGGAACCCCCCACACTGAGGCAACAGAGGGCTCCCTGGGCGTAATTCTGCCTGGGTGGCTCCGGCTTCCTGGGGGCTGCAGGTGAACGCACGCCTAAGGAAAAGCAGTGCCTCCATCATCATTTGGCGATGCCTGCATGGGCACAGATGGAGTGGGGACTGGTCTTCCTGATAAGGACTTGCTATTCCTGATTAGACATATGGGGCATGAACACTTCAAAGCATAGCCATTACCTATTTTAAAAATAGAAACAGTAGGTTCTCCAGCCTCTGAGAGTTAGCACAAAGGCAGACTGCATCCCCACGTCTGCCTCTGGATTGTCCCCCTGGTATCCTGCAGCCTAGACCCAAGAACTTCACACTCTCTTCAAGGTCAAGCACACAATCTCGCCTCTCCGTAGAACCTCCAGGTCTCCTGTCTTTCAATCCATGTTCTCACTCAGTACTGTGATGGAGCGGATTGATGGGCGAGTTTCCTTCTCATGTCCCAAGCTGACAGCTTCTACACATCCTTGCCCCAGAAAACAGACGGTTGATGAAGAGCAAGTGCTGGGATGGGTTGGGCTCAGGCTCTGCACCTGGCCTGAAGGAGGTTTTAGGGAGAAGCTTGCCCCTTCCCAGCCCTGGGCAGCACTGGCTACCCTGCAGCCCCAATGACCTCACCCAGCCCTGATGGACTAGAAGTCAGCCCTGCTCTTCAGGGTGATGGTGCTGCATGGGGTGAGGCCCTGGGCTCCACCTTGGGAGGAGTGCTGACAGCAGAGTCTTTGTGGCCCCAGAGTCAGTGCGTTCTAACCCACGGGATCCCAAACAGAGACCTGAATGGGCTAAGTTAGGCTTTGGAGATTGTGGAGCTGCAGCACGTCATGGGTTCCCGGGGATCACAGAAGAGAGAGAGAGGCGAAGGTGTCAGTGTCTGAGCCACAATGGGGTGCAGGAGGGTGGAGGTGCCCAGTGTTCTGCTTGCAGCCTGGCACCATGCTTGAGCACGTAGGTGCTGGGGTCTGATTATCTGAGCCCAGGACCCTTTCTTGGCCAATTCACAGTCTGAGAAATTTGCCCGAGCACCTCGTGCCTTGGTTTCTCAGAATGGCACTTGGGGGTGCCTGGCCCGTACCCAGTAAGCATCTCCCACGACCAGCAGCTGCCCTTCTTAGGGGCTGTGCACTCATTAAAGGAACATAAAAGACCGGGATCCATTGGAATGAAAACCAGGAGAGAATCACAGAACCACTCTGCAAGGGCCACCCGCCTTCGGGACAGTCAGCACATCAGAGGGCAGAGGGGACCAACCTGTTCTCCTCCCCCACCCCCTTGCTACCTCCCTACCCAAACAGCAGAAATCCAAGTCTTCAGATCTTCGGAACAGAAAGCCCTCATTCTCTCCAACCAGGTCCCGATTCATTGGTGCCTCTCCATATGTTCTTCCACGCAGGAAACATTTGCTATTTTCATCTTCGGAGCCGAGTTTGCTTTGAGGATCTGGGCTGCCGGATGTTGCTGCCGATACAAAGGCTGGCGGGGACGACTGAAGTTTGCCAGGAAGCCCCTGTGCATGTTGGGTAAGCCCTGACCCCTGTGTCTGTTGCAGCCTCGGTCTCTGTCTTTGGTGCATTGTTTCCACAGGGAGATCATAGGAGGCTCCTCTGGGGGCTCTGGGAGGCCAGCACAGGCTCTGCACCTGCCCACAACATCTGTCCATGGCAGTGATTTTAAAGTATTGCATTTGGTTTGGGAAGGAGCCAGCAGGTTGAGGGGACTGAGCAGCTCTCGTTCTGAGACCAGCAGCACCCCTAGACTTGTGACAACTCACATCCCTACACCTTTCCAGGCTGGCTGGAGAGCAGTGGTGGGTGAGACACCATTGCTGGTGGAGAAGTTGCACCTGTGAGACCGTGGTGTGCCCGTGTGGCAGAGCTAGGAACTGAGGCACACAGAGCTGAGTCATTCTCCAGGCACAGAAGTGGTGAGCAGCAGACTCCATCCTAACACTCATGTCTGGAAGAACCCGGCATGGTGATCTCCCTCCAACCACTTTGCTGAGTCTTGATCCAGAGGTTGCTGTGGAAGATGTCACTGGAACCCCTCCATCCAGGTGCAGACAGTGTGAGAGTGAGGAACGTCGCTGCACACATTGCAGCATGCACCCACGGGTTTCTGTCTTAAATTGCCACTAAAATCGTGTTGTAGCAGGACAGACATCTGCCTGAGTGATGACCAGGAGACTTGGGAGCATCTCAGCTCTGGGAAGGGTTAAAGTCACAGAGCCACCCAGTGCTGGGGTTGGAAAGGCCTCCAAAGTCATTTGGCCCAAGCTGCACCACTGTGTGATGGTACAGCACCCCTTGTAGGTGGAGCCTTGTAGGTGGTTACCCCATTCCTGTTTGTGCACCTCCAGTCTCTGGGGGAGAGTCAGAAATTTGAGTGTAGACACTATAGTCCTCCTCTGCACTTGAGCACATGTGCTTAGAACCAGCCTGGCATCATGTGCTCTCAGCAGCCCTGTGCCACTCCTGTGAGCACGCTGTGCATGCCTCACATCTCCTCTGAGTGAGATCACCCGGACTGCACACAGTGCTCAGGCACACACGGCCTGCCCAGAGAAGCACTGGCCCGTGTGCCTTGCCCACCATGCAGCCTGGGGGCACAACGCCTTCCTTGCTACCAGTGGAAACCTCCCTGCCACGTCCTTCCACCACTGTTGAGGTTGCACTTCTGAGCTTCTGTTTTCTCTCAGAATTTAAATGCACGAGTGCGTAGGTGTGTATGTGTGAGCACACTTTGGAAGAAGTTTTAGTCCCTGGTCTTCCTTATTCCTTTGCTGTCTCCATATCTACTCCCCGCTTGCCTTCCTGTCCTCCATTTTTTCCTTCTGCGTCTTTTGCAAATGCAATCATATTGAGTAGACCTCTCGTTTGCTGTGCCCTGTCCAGTGCTGACCAGAAGTTGTGTGTGTGTGTGTGTGTGTGTGTGTGTGTTGGCTGTGGGGAGCATGTATTTGTGATGAATTTGGCCCAAATTCAGTTCAAGAACAGCCTGGCCTGTGGGGCCTGGGTCCCTCCAGGACAGGTGTGTTCCCACGGAGCTGAAGTCAGAGCTCCAGGCCACCCTCCCCAGCTGCCCTGGAGACGAGGCCAGGTCTCAGCATCACAGCATCCCTGCTGGTTGTATTTTCCTTGCATCACTGTGTTTTCTACTCTCTGCATCTTGGCTACGCCCACGGTGTGACCTGCGTTAGCACGTTGTTACTATCATGAAATACCTGAGGCAAGCTACTTTATCGAGAAGGGAGATTTATTTTGGCTCACAGTTCTGCAGGTTCACAGTCCTAGTTTGGGTGGGACTGATTGCTTTGGCCTCTTGGGATGCTCTTCTTGCTGGCAGCATCCCTGGGCAGCACAGAGCATCACAGGGCAAGACAGGGAGCATGGGTGTCCATGTGGGGGGCTTCAAAAAGTTCAGGGAAATCTATATTCTGTTATAAACTATGCAGGGATTTTAAGATTTTGGACACAAAACTTATAATTCCATTTTCCACTAACTTTATTTATTTATTTGAAAAGCAGAGAGAGAGAGAGACAGACAGACAGAAAGACAGAGAGATCTTCCATCCACGCGTTCACTCCCCAAAGAGCCACAATGGCCAGTGCTGGGTCAGGCCGACACTCGGAGCCAGGAGCTTCTTCCAGGTCTCCCACAGGAGTATAGGAGCACAGGCATTCTCCGCTGCTTTCCCAGGTGCATTACCAGGGAGCTGGATTGGAAGTGGAGTAGCCAGGATTTTAACGGGTGCCCATATGGGATGCTGGTGCTGCAGGCTAAGGCTTAGCCTTCTATGCCACAGAGCTGGCTCCACTAACTTTTTATTTTTTAAAAAGGTTTGTTTATTTATTTGAAAGAGTTACAGAGAGAGGAGGAGAGCCAGAGAGATCTTCCCTCCACTGGTTTACTACCCAGATGGCAGCAATACCATGGTTGGGCCCAGCTGAACCCAGGAGCTTCATGAAGCTCCCACATGTGGGTGGCAGGGGCCCAAGAACTTGGGTCATTTTCTGCTGCTTTTCCTAGGCCATTAGCAGGGAGTTGAATCAGAAGTGGAGCACCCGGGACACAAACCATCACCCATATGGGATGCTGGCATCACCCATAATAGTCCCTCCACTTAATTTTTTACATCTGCTCATTTATCTTACAAAGCCACAATGATTCAATCATGAGGCTCCTAGTAAATTGATCAAATGTGATCATTCCCCAAAGGTTCACCTCTAAACACAACCAATTCCAGCCTCTTAATACCATTGACATAAGGCTTTGGGGACTAAGTTTCTGCAGGAATTTGCTCTAACCCTAGCACTGCCCTTGTGGGAAATGCTGCTTTTCTCCGTGTGTTTGACAAGAGTGTGGTTGTTGTGTCCATGAGCATTCCAGCCTCCATGTCTGTCCCCCTCAGATATTCCTTGTTGGGTGTGGGCACCTCCACTGTGCAGATCTGCTGTCCTCATGGAGCATCAGGGACCAACCACCCCCCCCCACCACACACACACATCTGGGTTTCCTTTTGGTTTGAGTGCAAACATTATTAAGTGGATAGAAACCACAAATAAACTGAGGGGCCTGGTCAGTGACACATCTATGTGTGTCCAGATGTTTGACCCCTACGTTTTCCCAGAGGTCAGGCACACCTGGAGGACATTTTGGTAGGTAGAAAGGGCATGAGCTTTTTGGACAAACCTACCTAGATCTGAAAGGAGCAGTGTGTCCTGAGCTAAGAGATCAGTGACTACAAAGATGCAGAGGTATGAGAGAGCCCTGTGTGTGCAGAAGACCACACATGCTTCTGGAAGGTTCCCAGGAACCAGAGGAGTTTGAGGAGCCCATAATTTGCACAGTGGGCTAGTCGTCCTAGCAGTGGGTTTCTTGGAACCCTGATGCGCTTGCAGAAACATAGCTCTATGGTGAATGTCTGTGGGGAAACCCCATACTTCATTTGTATGACCATGTGCAGCAGTGCATATTGGCATAGTAAAGGCTCTAGGGAGTCTTGCACAATCCATTTACCTGTGTTATTCCCAAGTTTACTTGACCATGGGTTGTTTTGACTTCCTAGCCCTCTGCAGGACAATGGGGAGATAACTGATGGGTACTAAGTGCCACTGAGGCATAGGAAAACAACCAGGTTTGCTTCCATGTGTACCTGACTCTGACCCAGGAGCCAGCTTATCCCTCTCAGCAGAGTCTCATCCCCTTTGTCCATCTCTTATTTCAACCAACACTCATACCCACATCCCACATCATGGGTAGGCTTCAGATCTTTCCAGTCTACCCCAAGGCTTTCTCTGAACCTTGGGGAAGACAGTAGGGCAGTGCATCTCAGAATTAAGGAGCCATTAATAGCTGCAGGGGTGACCCACCAGCAGCAGGGGGCGAGAGCCATAGTTCATATGCAAGCCTCTCATCTTTGAGAGGGGTGATCTTGGGAGGTGTTCAGATGACCCAGCAGTGACTGGATAGTAACCCTTTACTTGTTTCTTTCCTTCACTCTCTGAGGGGATTTCTGATTTCCCCTCTGCCTGAGGGACTCTCAAGTGCCTTGGGAAATCACTGCCGTGGGATTTAGAGTCAGCATTGGAGTTCTCAAGCCTACATTCCACCCCAAGTCAGCTACTTCCAACTGTGTGGCCTCGGGAAGGCACTCATGCTCAGAACTTTTGCCCATGGGTCACAAGAGAAGAATCCTACTTGTGACAGGCGATTGATGTCAAGATTCAACACGACAATACTTAGATTGGCTGCTGCTTGGCATACGTCCATCTGCCACAGATAGCCCTGCGATGATGATGCCATTGCTGTCCCCTCACTCCTCTTCCCTCTCCTCTGCTGCTCTCTCTGTCTTCTTTCCCAGACATCTTTGTGCTGATTGCTTCTGTGCCAGTGGTTGCGGTGGGAAACCAGGGCAATGTCTTGGCCACCTCCCTGCGAAGCTTGCGCTTCCTGCAGATCTTGCGCATGCTGCGGATGGACCGGAGGGGCGGCACCTGGAAGCTCCTGGGCTCAGCCATCTGTGCCCACAGCAAAGTAAGTGCCGTGGAGACGCCATGAGACTCCACGGGCTACCCACCCACCTGTGGCCTTCCGTGGCACCCCCCCCAGAGTGTCTATAGAGGGTGGCCATTCTGCCACCCAATAATGACAAAAAATAGGAAGAGGAGGCAGGGCATGAGCAGATGTGGTGGGATGAGCAGGAACAGGTAGACCCGGGCTTAAGTCTCAGCTCCACTGCATGCAAATTACTTTTGCCACGTCACTCACCCCTGTTTTGCCTCCAGTTTCCTTGCTTCTAAAATAGGAATGCTAATTCCTATTCCTGCCGATTGCCAGGAGTGAGCTCATGCAAGGCAACATGCGATGGAGGGAAAGGTTTGGGAGTTATGCAGATTTGTTTGAATCCAGACTCTGCCAGTGTAACTACAGGGACTCGATGTAACCTCTGTAGGTCTTGGTTCCTGTGTTTGTCAAGTGAGAATGATAAGCACTAACCTGAGGATGAAACGGTGGATGTGAAGAACACTTGGGTGTACCCAGCTCATAGAAATCATTCAGTTAGTGTTGTATGGAGCCCAGAGAGCAGCACTTAGAAGCTATGCGTTATACAGACCAGCTGCCCCAGATACGGAAGCAGACACAGAAAAAGGAAATGTCCTGCCCACACTCACACAGAGTGACACAAACTCTTGCAGTCCCTCTCCAGAGCCCTCGTCCAGTGGTTTGCTGCTGGCCACAGCAGGGTCCACTTCTCTGAGGAGGCCAAGAGCCTGGAGAGGCGGGACTCAGTTCCATACCCTCCCAGAGTCCCATGTGGTTGAGCAGGTGTAGAGACCAAGCACATGGAATCCAGGCTATCCAGATTCATGGCTCCCCATTTCTCCTCTTCCTATTGTTAACCCAAACCTTCGATACCACTTGGTTTGAGCCCGTCTGCCCTAGCTGGACCCAGGAGAGGGAAAGAGCTATGCCTGTATCAGCTCAGAACCCCAGGAGGCCAAGACTGGAGAAATCAGAGGGAGGGATGTTTTCCACAGGTGCAAAATCGAGGCCGCCTTCCTCTCCCAAAAAACATCTGTGTTTGCCAACCTTGGTGAGCATCCTGGATGCTTCTGATGCCCTGCCCAGATCCCTTTTGCCGGGAACCCTCTGGCCACTTCCTCAGTCACACGTGACTGAATCCCTGTCTTAGTCTGTGCATCTGGGGAACCAGTGAGCCTGATTGACTTTAGGAAGCTCAAGAGTTTTCATAACTAATGTTATCACATGACCTGCTGTCTCCCACCAGCAGCCCCAGGCCACAGCCGTACAGCTCCTGGCTCTTGTATCTCAAATATACACCCAGCTACACTGCGGGTGATTTCCTATGAGACGACATTGTATAGTGGAATTCAGCGAGCTGCTGAGTCAGACAGCACTGGGGTCCCACGTGCAGCTGAGCTGCCATGCAGCTTAGGAACGTCAGAGTATTTGGGTGAGCTTGCCCAGTGGTAAAGTAAGAGACCCTGGCTGCATTTCAGGGCCTGGTAACTGGCAGGTGTTTATTAACAGCTCTAGCCCCACCTGTAGGCCTAGTCCTGGCCCTCGCCCTAGCCCTAACCATAACACGAACCCTCACCCTATCATTCTGAACACGCTCATCACAAAGCATACAAATGAATGTGTAAATAAAGGGAAAGAGAAACACAAAATAGCGGGGACTCTCTCACCAGAGAATGTAATTCTTGCCATAAATGTTGTACGCCCAGCCGCGCTACCTCTGGCCACAGCATGCCTGGGTCAGGGCTTTGATTGCAGCATTGTGTCTTCCTTCTGACCTGTCAGTTTCTGGGTTACCAGAGGACATGTTCATGGTCCTCCTGGGCTCAGCTGCGACCCTGTGATCCTGGTGCTGAGCTGGCCACACGGCAGGTGTTCGTTCATACCACAGTAGACCCCTGCACCTGCTGACCTCCTTTTTTAACCATGTGATGATCAGCACCTGCTGGATGTTTGCAGGATAATCCCTGAGGGAAGATGGGCTCTCCTGCAGCAAGCCAGGCACCCAAAACAGGGACCCTTCCCCAGGGCTGGGAAAAGGCTACGGAGCAGAACTCTGCCCACACACTTAGCTTCACCTGGTTGTCCCTCAACCCCAGAGTCTGTTGTGAGAAAATCTCACAGCTCTCGGCCAGAGCTCAGAGGAGGATGCGTTTCCCATGAGAATGTAGTGTGGTCCTGTGGGCATTTACCAGGTTGTTTCTTCCTTCCCTCACTGTGCTGGGCCAAGTCCTACCCTTGCCTCCTCCAGGCGCTCAGATTAGGAGGCCTGTGGACTGCAGAGCTAGACGCCTTCAGCTCGTGCTGCTCCTACTAAGGGGAGCCCAGGCTGTGCTCCCAGAACAGGTAAGCCTGGCGTCTGTGCCACCTGGCACAAGACCACTGAGGCCTTTCTAGTGATGTGTGCTGGGTGGGCCACATCTGTTCTGAATATGAGACCCAAGTCTTCCAGGCAGGGCCAAGGGGCCTGGCATATCCCACAGAATGGATTTAGGGATCTGCTCCCATCATGTCCCCACTGCCCGGGCGCCCAGCCCTTTCACCCCAGGTTCACAGGTGGAGGAGCCAGTGGACCTCACAGCATTGCTACGGTTCTGCTGCACGGCTGCGGCAGAAGACCGGTGCAGTCAGAATCACCTGGAATTACCTATTCAAAGACAGCAAAGCGCAGAGCTGGGACCCATTTTCACTCCTCGTTGATGACCCTTCCACATGTCTCTTACTAATCCAACACAGCCAGTCTTCCTATGCATATCAATGCCCAGCAGTTTCTTTGGGTCAGAGCCAGATGAGGCTTCTGACTCCCATTCAGGGGCCAGAGAGAGTGAAGAAAGCTTTAACCACTGGGACCACATTCCAGAAGGCGAGAGGCCCATACTCAGCCCACCTCTGGGGAAGGACTGTCCGAGTCACTGCTACGGATCGCCTGTGCCGACTAAGCTACCCTCGCTGTGCTGTGCATGGGCTGCAGTGGGGAAGAACACACCATGTGCATGGAGCACAGTGAAGTATTAGATCAACAGGCTAGAAAAGAGTGAGGCATGAAGGAACTACAGGTGAGCTCCGTCTCCCCTGGTGGGAGCAAACATGCAGAGCAGTCGGAAGATGACACTGTGTGGCTGGTCCCATCAAGGGAGGGCAGTTCAGGCAGCAGGACCCACGTCGATCAAGGCATGGACAGAGGCGGGATCAACCCCAGGAGTGAGGGTGTCTCAACCCAGAAGGCAGCTAATGGACCCCGGTCAGGTGCAGGAAGCGTTATCAACATGAACAGCTGGGCTCTCTGTGATGACTCAGCAGGAACTGTGTTCTCCAGGAACCCGACCAGCTTCCTGTCCAGACTCCCCTGCTAGCCCTTGAAATGGGAACCCAAGAAAAGCAGAGGAGGCTGGAGACAGAGGGAACCTTACCAATTTCCTCCATCAGGGTGTTGAAACGTCTGCAATCTGCTGATCTTGGTCTTCTCTCTGTATCATCCTTACTGTTTCGTAACATTTTTCTTTTTTCTGTTTGTGTTTTTTCCTAAGGTTTATTTATTTGTTTGAAAGAGTTACAGAGAGAAAGGGAGAGACAGAGACAGAGAGAGAGAGAGAGAACTTTCATCCACTGGTTCATTCCCCAAATGGCTGCAACGGCCAGGCCAAAGCCAGAGCCAGGAGCTTCATCTGGGTCTCTCCCCTGGATGTTGGGGCCCAAGTGCTTGGATCATCTTCATCTGTTTCACCGGCACATTAGCATGGAGCTGGATTGGAAGTGGAGCAGCCAGGACTGAAACCAGCGCCCATATGGGATACTGGCACTGCAGATAGGGGCTTAACCCCACAAGCCACAACGCTGGCTCCCATAACATTTTTCTTTAAACCAATTTTCTGGGGCAGGCAATGTGGCATAGTGGGTTAAACCACCACCACCTGCGAGGCTGTCATCCCATATAGGCACCAGTCCAAGTCCCCGCTGCTCCACTTCCAATCCAGCTCCCTACTAATGCACCTGGGGAAGCAGTTGAAGATAATTCAAGTACTTGGGCCCCTGCACCCACATGGGAGACCCAGATGGAATTCCAATCTCCTGTTTTGGGCTGGCCCAGCTCCAGCCATTGCAGTCATTTGTGGGATGAACCTGCAGATGGAAGATCTCTGTCTCTCCCCCTCCCTCCAACTCTGCCTTTCAAATAAATCTTAAAAAAAAAAAAACCTTCTGTTTGTTGTTGCTCCCCGTCTTCGTGGAGGAACGACACAGGACCCTGCGTTGTTCTTTCATCTGCTCGGCCCTCCCCGGGTTGCTGCTGGTTCTTCCCGGGTTGGCTACCGTCCCTCCACCTCCGTGGAGGGGTGGGCCCCCTGCCACTTTCCCCACTTCTGCAGGGGAGCGGCACACCGCCGGCTGGCTCTCTAGGGGGCTGCACAGGTGTTCCTTCAGATAGATGTTCCTGGTGCATGTTGTCTTTCTCCTCCTTTATAGTCCTCTTCCACCAATCCCAACTCTGCTACCCACACGCCGAGTACGCTGCTCTCCTCCAATCAGGAGCAGGTCCTGCAGCTTGTTGGTTGAACTGGAGGCAGCTGTGTAGAAGCTGTTTCCTCCTCTCCCAGCGCCATATTGTGGGAGAGCAGATGTATAGAATAAGTCTTAATTCCAGTAACAGTCTAGTCCGAGTTGCTCCCAGTTGCTCCCCACAGTTTGTCTACTTAGTCATATGTCCTGTTCTATCACATGATAATACCTGTAAAATCACAGGCCTGGTGTGCCACTTAGGCTTATTTTGCCTGTGTTCCAAATTGCTGTGTGACTATGGAACATAGTCACTGTTTATCTGAATCCCGCAGTGGTACATGTGATGCTGTCAGAAGCTCTGTGATATGGTCCCTTCATTCATCAGCTGAGGATACTAAGGCTGAGAGGGGTGATGTTCCAGGATCACACCGTACGTTGGTGGCAGGATGGGTCGCTGTCCACAGCTCTACCCTCTCTGCCGTTGATTTCCTGGTAGCATGGGCTTTTCCTTGCTCTGCACAGCCCTTGAGTCCCTGAGTGCTGTGCAAATCTCAGAGGTACTGGTCCCTTCCTCTTGCCCTCGCCCCTTCCTGGGAAGTCTCCTGAGCTGTAACATGGAGTCACCTGGAGCCAGAAATCATCCCCTCCTCCCCTAGCCACACACTGGCTCTTAGTTAGCGAGAGGAACAATAACCCCATCACAGACCCCTTGGATAGGGCCAGAGGTGAGGCCCAGAGAGGGGGAGTCGCGGGCCCACAGTCACAGAGCAGGCAGCCCTGAGCTGCCACGCAGTGACGACTCAGCGCCCCCTCCTCTCCTCCCCGCCTCCTCTTCCAGGAACTCATCACCGCCTGGTACATCGGCTTCCTGACGCTCATTCTTTCCTCGTTTCTTGTCTACCTGGTGGAAAAAGATGTGCCCGAAGTGGATGCCCAGGGAGAGGAGATGAAGGAGGAGTTTGAGACCTATGCAGATGCCCTGTGGTGGGGGCTGGTGAGTCGCCCCCTCGAATGGCAACCCTATGGGTACTGATAGGGCAGAGGCAGAGGGTGTGGCATGGACACACTCAGGCAACTGCACTCTGCAGGCAGAGATGGAAGCCAGGGCAGGAATGTTCCCAGCCTGTGCCTGAGTCCCTGCTCCTCTCCCAGTTTCAGCTTCCTGCCGCTGGCTCAGTGGTTGGCCCTGGCTCATGTAGCACACCTGGGCTAAGTTTCTAACTCCTGGACATTTGGTGAATGATCTGATGGATGGGAGTTCTCTCTCCTTCTCTTTCCCTGTACCTCTCAAATAAGTTAAAAAATTAAAATTACAAATTTTTACAAAGGAAGTCAGTGCTCAGAACAGTTTTCTGCATGCTCATTGAGGGATCTTAGCTTATTAAGGACATGCAGAGGCCAACAGTATGGCAGATCTGCATGGGTGTGCACAGATACTGTGGCAGGTACACATGGGTACACACACACACTGTGGCAGGTGCACTTGGGTACAACACAGACCTGAGTGCCCACACAGAGGTATAACCCCAACAAGCACGCATCATCCTAATGCAGAATTATCAAGAGCATCAATATGAACACTTTCCATTTATATACCTTAAACTCAGTCCTGCTATTAGCACCTTGGGAAAGTGGGGAAACTGAGGCATGAAGAGGTTAAGGAAGTAATTCAAGGTCTCTCAGATACTGCATGTTTGGCCTGAGATTTGAAGAACAGTTAGTTTCCAAATGCCATGAGGTTAACTGTGTTGCCAGCCGGCCTCGCACATGCAGATACACAATTGTAAGTATACATGTGCTGGTAATAGAAACATGTGAAAACACGCATTGACTCACAAGAGTGGCTGTGCACAAAATCACTCATTCTCACACACACACACACACACACACAACCTGTCTACAGTGACTGGAATATATGTTGATTGACTGTAGGTAGGAAGTGCTTAACTTATTAACAGGTTGTGGTCTCAAGGCTGCTGCCCAAGTTGCTCAGATATTTGGTGCCTTGTCTGTCATGGGACTCTGGTGAGCAAGAGCAGCCCCCACGCTGCTCCGGAAGCTTCTGGATGGAGCTCAGCTAAGGAGTCGCTGAGTCCCCTCTTCCTGGAGTGACAGTCTCTTCTCTCTTCAGATCACACTGGCCACCATTGGCTACGGAGACAAGACTCCCAAGACGTGGGAAGGCCGTCTGATTGCTGCCACCTTTTCCTTAATTGGCGTCTCCTTTTTTGCCCTCCCAGCGGTAAGTGTGACGTGCAGGACCCGCCCCCCCATGCCAGCCTCAGTGTCATCTTTTCACCCCCTAACTCCCACACCCAGCCGCTCACCAGCCATCCTCTTATGCATTACTGTGATGCCCCTGAAGACTTCCTGTCCATAGACCGGGTTTCCAGGCTGCCTTCTGTAGCTGAGTTCATGGCTCCCTCTAGATGCAGCTCTGTAGAAGCATTCCTGGCCTCATGCTGGGTTGCGCATTTCTCTCTGCCCCCACTAGGGGGCTGTGAACTCCTCCAGGGCTCATAGGCTATTTTTTTTCTCACTCTTTAGTGCTGAGTAATGATCCATTGTATCTCTCTTTCACCTGTGGTCCCCAGCACTTTCTGCAGGTCAAGTCCTTCATGTGAGTGAGTGCCCTTCCTTTGCCATAACATTGGCTAGTTTATGTAAAAATTGCACTTGCCTAAGAAAAATCCATTGTAGGAAGTGTAATGAAACAAGTTCCCCAAATCCCACTACTACAGATGTGCAGTAGTAACCATAAAAGTAGGTGACGCTTATTGAACTTGACCTGTGCCCCTGATCATGCCAAACATCTTACTTACATCATCTCCTTTAAACTGCATGGCAACACTAGTTGGCTGCTGTATTTAGCTCATTTTCCACATGAGAAAGCCGAGACTTAATTAGGTTTGTGAATTTTCCACAGTCCCAAGGCTCTGGGTTGTGGAGCCAGGGATCTGCTTCTAAAGCCTGGCTTTGGATTCTGAAGCTTGAACAAAACATTCTTAAACAGCAGTCCCTCTGCCACTCTCTGCATCTCCCGTCTGTCCGTGATGTTCTTTCACCACTGGCAGCCCTGCCGTGTTCTTTTTCCTGAGCCTTTGGAGCATAGGAAGATGACCTCCCTTCCTGTTTTCTCACTGATGAAGCCAGTGAGGGGTGCAGGGATGCCATACAATCATTAAGCTCTCTTTTCATTTTGAAAAGGTTGTGTTTCTATCCACTGTATGCAAAGCAGACCTGAACAGTGAATTGGATCCCAAGTTGGGGAAGATTCTGGCTACAGTGAATGTCTCAAGTGACAGTTCAAGTAGCTGAAAGACCTTCAAAATGCAGTTAGCATTTCCCAGGCATCTATTAGGTGCTGTCCATCACTAGGCAGTTCCTGTGTGTCATCCCCCTTTTGTGTTATCAGAATTGTGAGGCAGGTCCTGTGACCTCACTGCCCTGTGGAAGGATGTGAGGTGGAGCCTGGATCAGAGGTCTGCCTAGGGTCTTGCAGCTGGACATGACCTTGGGATTGGAACCCAGGCCTTTCCGACTTCAAGACTCCTTTGCTGTTCCCTTCTCCCCCTCTCTCTGCAATGTCATCCTAGCTGGGCTGCGAGCGCACTGCCCACTCTGGTGGTGGGGAAGCAGCACCAGGACAGTGCAGTGGGACTGACCATTGTCACACCCTCTCTCTCCAGGGTATCCTGGGATCAGGGCTGGCACTCAAGGTGCAGGAGCAGCATCGTCAGAAGCACTTTGAGAAAAGGAGGAAGCCAGCTGCCGAGCTCATCCAGGTCCGTGTGCCTGGGAATGAACTGTGGTGGGTCTAAGAGTGTGTGTGTGTGTGTGTGTATGTGTGTAGAATGCACCCACATACACACATCCCCAGAGAAAAAAAGACATCCTCAAGCTTATGACCTGGAATAGGCACCAGGAGCCTGTGTGTGTGTGTGTGTGTGTGTGTGTGTGTATACATGCATGTATGTACACACACGGCACATTCCCAAACAGGAGCAAGCCTACTTGCTCATGCCCACTTGTGGATGGATGGCTATGGTCACTGCCATCATGAGCTTTATAACGTATCTTGGTATGTACTGGGGCTGAGTCCTGTCACACTCCCATCCCACCTCCAAGCCAAGCAAGAAAGACTACAGTAGGGTCAACCTCTCAGCTGGTTTTCCTGATAATGCTGGAGTAGAGAATTTGGCTCAGACTTGGGGCCCGCACTAGGCTTCCTTCTGCTTCTGCTTCCAATCTAAGACTTGACTAAAACTTGACCTAAATGGAAGAATCTTTTATAATTCCAGGGACTTATCTATTTGGGTACAAGAAGAACTGGCTCCCTCACACCCATTAGGATAGACAGCCCTAAGCCAAGGCAGGAAGACATGCCTTACATGTGACAAAAAAATAATGACCCATTTCACCTGTTTGTCCTACCCAGTAGACAGTCATGAACCACTGCCAGCTCTCCACCTCTCCCTCACTTCCCTGGCTATGGACGAGGGGCTGGAGATTGTAGTGAGAAACAGTAAGAAAGGCAGAAGTATTCCTTCTTAGACTTCAGTGGGAGCTGCTACTTCATGACCTCATGGCAATTGGGAATTGCAAAAACAGTGAGTCATGAAGTTCTATCCTGGCTACAGTGAGCTGAACGCTTAGGGCATGGCCGCCCACCCCTGAATTTGTGTCCAGCTGTAGCGAGTCTCCCTGTGGTACTGCAAGTGTCTGACAAAGGACAGTGTATGAAGTCATCCTACGTCTTGTAGTTTGAGTTGGTTCCCATCTCCAACCATCTGCCCCATTACTCCTGCAAACCACAAATCACTAGGGCACTTGAGGAATTCCAGAAAATCTTCCTCTAGGCTCTCTCTCCTACCCAGAAGTGGCACATAATTGTTGTCCTATCTATTGGATCTGATAAGTCTCAGAGAACATTCTGGAAAGAGTGGTCCTTGTCTCTTTCACGGTTTCTGTACCTTCTCATCTCCCTCCACTGTAACTCTTTCAAAGCCACCCTCCATAATATCAGTGATAGTTCTGAGATGGCCAGGGAAGGTTTTTCTTCTCAAAAGGAGCTACAAAAAGCCAAGAATCTTGAATGTTGTTGGCTCGACGCAGACTCAAATTCTCAGGAGTCAAGAGCTTTAAAATTGCCTGTGTCGTGGGATTCTTTGTGAAAGTTCCAGGTGACAGTGGCTCACCCCTGCCGCTCTTGTCCCCAGGCTGCATGGAGGTATTATGCTACCAACCCAAACAGGATAGACCTGGTGGCGACGTGGAGGTTCTATGAATCTGTCGTCTCTTTCCCATTCTTCAGGTAAGTAACAACTCCAAAGTGCTCAGGGCATGGGTCACCATCATTCTGTGGTCTGCATTTGTGTCTGTGGCCTCCTGGGTTCCTGGAGGATGTTCTTCCTGGTGGTGGCACCCTACAGGGGCTGCACCTTAGAATCAATCTGTGAGCTGAAGAGATCTCCATACCCAGGCCATACTCCAGGCTGATCAAGTAGAACCCCCGCACCTGGAGCCCAGACAGCAGGCTGTTTTAAAATTCTTTATTTGAAAAGGAGAGAAACATGGAAAGAAGGAGAGACACAGATCTCCCATTCATTGATTCAGTCCCCAAATGGCTGCAATGCCCAGGAGTAGGCCAGGCCCTGGCCAAGAACTACATCCAGGCATCCAGGTCTCCCATGTGTGTGGCAGGGGCCCGGGTACTTGAGCCATCATCCACTTCCTGCTCAGGTGCATTAGCAGGGAACTGAATCACAAATGGGGCGGCCAGGACTTGAAGTATTGCTCACATGGGATACTGGAGTATACTTACGTGGCTGTTTTACCCACTGTATAACAATGCTGACAAAGTCAGCATTGTGATGTTTTAAAGATCCCCAGGTAGCTCCTAGTGTCACCAGCCAGGGGTTACCAGCTGAACAGTGTGGAATGACTGACAGGGGAGGGCCCCATCAATGTAGGATCAGGACAAATGGGCTGAGGCTGTGGGGATCCAGCACTAAGGACCATGCTACCTGTCCTGGATGTGCCCCCAGCCTGGCGTGGCCCCAAGACCCAGAGGTGGTGTTTTGTGTTCTCAGGTTTCCAAGTTCCTATTTCCTCACAGGTAGCCTGGGAGAGAGGTTAAGATGAGTTAGAATCAAGGGGGCCTTGTGGACAATGCAGGTTCATGGTCCAGCTTCAGCAGTCCGGATGGAAGTGTGGTGGGAAAGGGTCTTGAAGGGAAGCCCCAGGTGACTCTGACCCCCTGGCCCACCCTGCATTCTTGGAGTGAGCCTGAGAGAGAGGCATTCCCAGCTTCCCTTTGCAGATGATCGGGTGAGGCTCAGAAACTTTGAACGCTTCTCCCAGGATCAGGTCCTCAATGCCTCTGATCTTTTCAGTTTTGGGGATTCTAAGACAGGTTTTTACCCTCCAGGTTTTAGGTACTGTGGTCCTATGCTCAGGGTTTTAAGTTTGCAGCTAAAATGGTGGACTCCCAACAACCCATGACTTGGAAGGAAAAGTTAGAGACACAGTTAGCCTTGTACCCAGGACTGGGACCTGCTCTGAGGCGTGTCTCTGGCATGTGTCTGGCATTTCAATGGATCATAAATGTGGCCCACTACTGTCCCCATCTCACTCTCCCATATAGTCTCTGTTGGACCTGTGACCCCTCTCAACTCTGCCTCGGTTCACCCTTCCACCCTCAACATTGGTTTGTAGTAAGGCTATAAGGAAACACAAGAAATTTGAGTTTTAGTGGCTCATTTGTCTACACAAAAACTCCCAATGGGCGAGCATGACAAAGACAAGAAAGTCCAAAACCTGAACATGAGGTTCAAGGTGTCACAAATGGGCTCCTGCTGACTGTTTTCCCCTTGACCCCACCTTGCCTTCCCTCCTTGAGAAATTCTCGTGGCTGGTGCTTTGTGTCCAGGGCATCCAGTTCATCAATGCCTTTGAGCTTCTTGTATACACCAAGCACTGAGCCAAAGCAGGGACAAGCAAGGGTGACTTGCAAAGAAATCTAGCTTTGATCCTGAAGGCAACGAGAAACCAAACAAGCCTGGGAATGACGTGATTGGGTCTGCATTTCAGGAAGATGACAAAAGCAAGTGTGGAGTGAGTCAGACCCAAGATGCCAGGCAAGGAAATCAGCTAGCAAATGGTTGCAGAGTCAAGTAAGAGGATGAGGGCTGGGGCAAGGTAAAAATCAGTATGATGAGCCAGCAGAGAGGGGACTTCAAAGAGAGGAAGCTAAAGAAACTGATAGAAGGGTTAGAAAGAAGAAAGAAACCAAGTTTTCAATAAATGAATGAATGACAAAATGTAGATTTACTCACCAGGTCTTCTCACTTGTCACTAGGCTAACCTGCTCAGAAGATGACCTAGATGGTTCTAACTTCTATCATTGCTGCAGCCATTTATGGCTTTGGATAGCATAGTCTTCTTAGAATGAGCAGGTGGCAGCCGGCACTGCGGCTCAATAGGCTAATCCTCTGCCTGCGGCGCCAGCACACTGGGTTCTAGTCCCGGTCAGGGAGCCGGATTCTGTCCCGGTTGCCCCTCTTCCAGTCCAGCTCTCTGCTGTGGCCCGGGAGTGCAGTGGAGGATGGCCCAAGTGCTTGGGCCCTGCACCCACATGGGAGACCAGGAGAAGCACCTGGCTCCTGGCTTTGGATCAGCGCGGTGCGCCGGCTGCAGCGCACCGGCCACGGTGGCCATTGGAGGGTGAACCAACGGTAAAGGAAGACCTTTCTCTCTGTCTCTCACTGTCCACTCTGCCTGTTTAAAAAAAAAAAAGAATGAGCAGGTGGCTTCCCCTTAAGAGAGTGACCTTGAACTCAAAAAAGAACATGTGCAACCACGTTGGATGCAGAACCAAGACGATTTTTGTTTGCTGTGCATCCCAGGGTCTTGGCAGTGAGCCCATTCTTTTGGGTTGATTTATTATAAATAGGCATTGTCCTAGCTGTCAGAGACTTGGAGAAGTACATTGTGCTGCCGACAGCTGCTGTGATATGGGAATGGCTTCTAAACTAAAAGGGAACATTTCCTTCTTTCTTTATATTTTGTCCTTGAAAATCAAAGTCAGCAGAGAAATTCTTTTAGAAACCTTTCTGAAAAAAAGGCAGTCCCATGGGGGAAGAGAAACGTCCTTGAATTCCAACCCACCCATGCGGTAATGGCAAAAAAAGTAGCTGACAGCACCCAGGTGTATCCTCATTTGCCCTCTAAATTTTTTCTCTTCTATTTTTTAAATAACAACTTTATTGAGATACATTTCACAACCAATAAGAGGATTCCATATACCGTAAAAAATGCCTCTTTAAAAGCTGATGAGTCACTGGTTTTGAGTCTACTCACAAATTTGGTCATCAACCACCACAATCTAATTCCAGAAAAATGTCACCCCAGAAGGAAACCTGCACCTGGGAACAGTTACTCCTGGTTCTTTCTCCAGCCCCTGCAACCAGGATTCCATGTTTTGTTGTTCTTGTGCCCATTATAAAAAGTTCATGTACTAACAATCATATAATCATTGCTGTTTATGTGTGCTTTCTTTCACTTAGTGTAGGGTGTGCAGGTTTCACCCATGTAGTAGCTTGCACTAGAACTTTATTCCTTTTCATGATAGAATATCTCATTATATAGACCATATGTTGTTTCTCCATTCATGAGTTAATGGACATCTGGGCTGTTTCCACCTTTTGGCTATCATGAGTAATGCTGCTGTCTGCACTTTCTGTGGACTTACGTTTTAAATCATGGGTGTCTACCTAGGAGTTGTATTGAGAACTCTACACTTTACCTTTTGAGGAACTGCCTGACTGCTTTCCACAGTGGCTGCACGTTCTGCATCCCTGCCACAGATTAGGAAGGAAAAAGTTGTGTAGCTGTTTGTAGCTGTGGCGCCACACCAGAATCTCCAGCTCAGTGTAGTCCTTGGTTACTTTGCAAGCATCCACGTGCTTGAGGCTAACCTATGGTGAATGATGGCATCCATTTTCTTTTATTACTACTTATAACTCATTGTTTCTGAATTGTAAAGATCCCCAGAGTTTCAAGTCCAAACTCGATTTTGCGTGAAAAGAATCTGAGATTCCAGAAGTTCAGACTTACTCAGGTCACATTTCGTGTTGGGCGTGACTAAGACCAAACTCAGTCTGCTGATTTGCTGGCCAATGGGAACTGCTGAGACTTAGAACAAGCCGGTGGCAGGAGTCTGAGAAGGTACAGGATGGTGCTGTGAATGGTAGTGAAAGAATATTCTTACACAGGCAGGGTGAGGGAAAATGTGAAAAACCAGACTTTGCTTTACCTCAACAGAAGAGTACAGAGCCTGTCCTTGCCCGGTGGTAGAATTACGCTGGACTTCACCCTTCTGCAGTAGCAGCTGTCCAGGGTGGGAGCCACTGTCCACATGTGGTTACTGAGCATTTGATTGTTCCTAGTAAAACCAAGAAATTTAGCTTTTAATAGTAATAGCCATATTTGGGGACTGTCTTTGTGGTGCAGGGGGTTAAGCCAACACTTGGGCACCTGCATCTCATTTCGAAGTACCTGGGATCAAATCCCACCTCTGCTTTCCCTCTACTTTCCTGCTAATGCACACTCTGGGAGGCAGCAGGTGATGACTCAAGTACTTGGGTTCCAGGACCCACATTGAACTTCTGGCTCCTTGCTTCATCCTGACCCAGCCATGGCTGTCGCAGGCGTTTGGGGAATGAACCTGTGGATAGAAGATTCTCTGCCTTTTCCTTCCCTCCCCTTTCCTCCCTCCCTTTTTCCATTCCTTCTCCCATAAATAAAAACACATACATTTTATATACTCGTATGTGACTAGTGACTACAAAATTGGACAGCATAGTTCTAGAATTCTTAGATAATTGGAATTGAAGTGGAGATGAGGAGACAGGCTTAGAAGGTAGAAGTTGGGGCTGGTGCTGTGGCACAATGGGTTGGTCCTCTGCCTGCGGTGCCGGTATCCCATATGGGCACCAGTTCTAGTCCTGGCTGCTCCTCTTCCAATCCAGCTCTCTGCTGTGGCCTGGGAGGGCGGTGGAGGATGGCCCAAGTCCTCGGGCCCCTGCACCCACATGGGAGACCGGGGGGAGGCTCCTGGCTTCTGATCGGCCAGCTCCAGCCGTTGCAGCCATTGGGGAGTGAGCCAGTGGACAGAAGACCTTTCTCTCTATCTCTCCCTCTCAGTGTAACTCTACCTCTCAAATAGATTTAAAAAATCTTTTTAAAAAAGTAGAAGTTACTTGAACAAGAAGAGTTCATTTGTAACCAGAATTTGTTCCTTCTGTGACCAGGGTCAAGTGCTTAGAGTTGGGGGGTGGGGCACTATGTGTAGTAACCATTTCCTCTGACAAAATAACATTGGATCTTTCATAAATGCTATCTCATTCAGCATTTAGAAGATAAATACAAATACTCCATTTTTCATAACACCATTTTTGGAAGACTTATTTATTTGAAAATCAGAGTAATAGAGATAGAGGGAGAGGGGAGAGAGATCCTTCCATTCACTGGCTCACTCTCCAGATGGCCACAACAGCCTGGGCTGGGCCAAGCCAAAGCCAGGATCCAGGAACTTCTTCCAGGTCTCCCACGTGGGTGCAGGGACCTTAACATTTGGACCTTCTTTATGTTGCTTTTCCCAGTCCACTAGCAGGCAGCTGGATTGGAAGTGGAGGAGCCAGAACACAAACTGGTACCCATATGGGGTGCCGGCATTGCAGGTGGCAGCATCACACTGCCAGCCTCTGACAACTCCATCTGAAGAATCAGAGGGTCCACGAAATTACTTGGCTTGGCTAATGTTAGCTCACTAGTAAATGAAGGAGCAAAGATTGGAACCAGGATAATCTCCCAGTGCCCATTCTTTCCATCATATCTCTGGGAAGAAAAGTTTATTTGGGGAGAAAACTGGGTATAAAGTAAGCTGAACAAGCATTATTTGGACATTAATACTCATTTCTGAAGATTGGTGTTGTGAGGGTCAAATCAAAAGTGGTTGTCTTAGCACTTGGCCCATAGCAGGTGTGGTCTGTGCTGGCTGGATCTGGGCTGAGAGGAAGCATTGATGTGACAGCACAGAGGAGATGAGGGGGAATGGAACACCCTAAGCTCCCAAATTATAGTCCTGGGAAACCACCGTTGGTGGGCATGGAGCTAGAACACTCTGTCCAGACTGTGGTTAAAGCCTTTTATCCATTTAGTCCCTTCATTGAGCAGATGTTCACTGTTTTATGTGCTAGGTGCTGTGTTTGGGATGGGGCTCTAACAGTGAACTAGATGGGGTTAGCTGCCCTAGGCTGATGAAGACAAATGAGGAGCATGCCCACTGGACATTGTCACTTGGAGTTTGCCAGCACTTTGCCTGGAATAATCTCAGTGGAGCATAGGGCGTGGAAGCCAGGCAGGTGGGATTAGAGTGAAGGGGAAATGTGCAGCTGGGAGACAGCAAGGTCAGAGGGCAGCTGGTGTGGGATGTGGTGCCAGGCAGTCTCTCCTTGATGGTCAGGGTCTAGCAGCAAAGGACACGTGGGGGAGAGGGACTGGAAGAGGGTGTGGGAGACTGCATGGGTTCTAGCTGCCCATCATCCATGGGCACCCAATGGATGCCCAGTGGGTGGGGCTGGGTATAGGAGGAAAATGACTCCACAGTGGGACCACAGAGATCTCAGGAGTCAAAGTCATCAACACCTTTGTGTGGTCAGGTGAGGGGCATCTGACATGCCCGCCACACTGGAGCTGGCTGCTGCATGGACAGTGGAATGGAAATGCCCTTTGCCTGCTCTACTGTGCTTCCTCTTATTCTCTCCCTACCCCCCTCACCTTTGGGTCCCCTGATAAGTCAGATGTTCTTTCATCATTTAGTCCACACTCCTCACATGCTAGGATGCAAGTGATGAGATTTTAGAGCTGTTGAAAACCACAGGCTCTGCCCTCCACCAGCTCATAGCTACACGTCCTTCTACAACATGATGATCCAGGGACTGACACTATGGCATATAAGGTTAAGTCTCCATCTGCAGTGCCAGCATCCCAAATGGTTGCTGGTTCAAGTCTCAGCTGCTCTACTTCCAATCCTGCTCCCTCCTAATGCACCTGGGAAAGCGGCAGAAGATGGGCCAAGAACTTGGTCCCCTGTACTCACACAGGAGATCTGGAAGAAGCTCCTGGCTCCAGGCTTCACCTGGCCTGAGCCCCAGCTGTTACAGCCATTTGACAAGTGATTCAGTTGATTGAAGCTCTCGCTGTTTCTCTCTGGTCTCTCTCCTTCTATCTCTGCCTTTCAAATAAATACATGAATCTGAAAAAAAGATGATTCAAGTGGTAATCATAGGGTACAACTCCACATGTGAAAAGATTAACTCAGTCCTGACCCTGGGCAGTTGGATGAGAACCAACTTATGAACTTAAGGGTGGGCCCCTCCAGATGGAACTCAGCAGGTGAGTGAGGCTGTCTCAGTCAAAGGAAAGAAGAATTCTTGGCAGGGGACAATCTCAGCAAAGGTTCGGTGTTGTGAACGTGTGTGTAGTGCTTGTGTTGCACCTGTTGGTTAGGAGTATGGTTTCCTAGGGGTGGATCCTGACTGCAGCTTCCTGAGGCTGTGTGCCTCAATTTCTTCATCAGGAAAACAAGAGGACAATAGTACTTATTTCATAAGGTTATTATGATGATTAGTTAACCATTACAAAAGCTTGGAATAGTATCAGTCTGGGGAGAGTGCTTGGCTTAGCAGTTGACACCCCAAGCCATGGTCCCCATCAGAGTGTCTGGGTCTGAGTTCTGGCTCCTGTTCCTGATTCCAGTCTTCTGATAATGCAGACCCTGTGAGGCATCAGTGATGGCAATGGTAGCTGGGCTCCTGGCACCCTCGTCGGGGACCTGGGCTGAGTTCCTGTCTCCTGGCTTTAGCATGTTGGTCATTGCAGGCATGCAGTGGAGGGAGTCCATAGAAGGTCTCTCTCTCTCTCCCTCTCTATCCCTCTCCCTCTCCCTCTCCCTCTCCCCTCTCCTCTCTCCTCTCTCCTCTCTCCTCTCTCCTCTCTCCTCTCTCCTCTCTCTCTCCTGCTCTAATTTTAAAACATCACGTGTGCCTGATTAGTGTTCAGTATGTGGTAGTGAGAATGTTGACTGTGACAATGGTGGTGGCTGCTGCCTGTGACCTCCTGGCTCCCTTATCCTTGTCAGTAAACAGATTCCCTGATAATAGCACAGAGTAGGTGCTCAGCAACCATTTTGTGGATGAGCAGGTGCATGAGTAGCTGAGAAGAACCTTGAGAGCTCAGAGCCAAATGGTAGCCACTTGGATCTGGGGTGTGGCTGGCGACACCCCCCTCGTGACTTGGTTGCTCCCACACTCACCATCATGTCCCAGAGCTCTGCTCTACGCCATCATTTCAAAGGGAAACTTTGGGACAAACTCGGGAAGAATGCAGCCATTCTGTGTATTTATGCATTATTTCTTTTTCCCTTTTCTCCTTATAGGAAAGAACAGCTGGAAGCAGCAGCCAGGTAGGTTCTGATTACGAATCCTTTCTTCCCAGCCCAGTGTCGGGCCTGAGGGCCCAGTTCCATGTGGCACAGGGTCCCTGATGACCATGCTGGTCACAGGGCTCACTGTAGCTGCTGACCACCATATTCCTCTGCCATTTCCATGCAGTTGCTCCAGGACAGCTTAATAGGAACCACGGCAGCAGCTACATCTGTCTGCTCTGGGCCTGGTTCTATGTCCAAAGGACTGCATTTGTGAACTCAGTTGGTCTTTATAAGTACGAGAGAGGCCTTGACATCCTCATCCATGGATGGGGAGACCGGGGCCCAGAGAGGTTGAGTCTTTCCCTTTGGATCACAGAGTGCCTGAGGATGCAACCAGAATTCAAAGTCAGGGTCCCGCATCACATCAAGACATTGTTTCAATTACGTGTTGTTTCATTTGCTTCTTGGGCCTATAGGTGACACTTCAGAAAGTGACTCGAGGCTGTAAATCATGATCCCCACAGCTGTGACTGTCCCCCAGGAGGCCAGGGTCACTGCAGGCTGCAGAGGAACCTCCAGGCCATGGCATTTCTCTAACCCTCCATCTGCTTCCTCTTAAGAGGCTGTCACTGTGTCGAGAAAGCTGAGCTCTATCCCAGATCTTAGGAAACAAGCTCTTGAAAACAGCTGTTTAAACTACTTATACATCTGTACATACACATTTACACGTGTGATATGAACTGTTACTGTGGCCAAACCCCCGAGTCCAACTGCTAATCTTCTAGAGACAACAGCACTGGGGCAGAGAGGGTGACAGGAGCCTGGACTAGTAGGGGAACCGCTTGAGACCAGTGGCCTTTGGGGAGCTGAGCCGAGGCCTCTAGAGTGTGGTTCATGATCCGAGGTCCACACGTAATTCCTCTTAGAAGAGACTTTTGCTAGCAGTACTGGTTTACCCCTATGTGGAAATGCAAACCAGCCTTCCCGTCTCCTTCATGCGTTGTCAAAGGGACTGAGAGTTGCTTGCCTGGCCCCAGTTTGCACTGTTGGGGGCACTTGGGGAGATTTTAGGGAAGACTGGATCACTAATGACAGTGTCGGAGGACATTAGCGGGAGGCTCTGCAGCAGCTCGTGACTCACAGAGGCGGAGTGGGCAGACAGACCTCAGAGTCCCTTCTAGATGTGTTTATAGAGACTGAGGCCTCCTGAGGATACAAGTTCCCTCCAGGTCGCACAGCCCATGAATGCCAGTTGTTATGAGATTCAGGGCTCAAGACTCCCAACGTGATGTTCAACACGGGTTTTTGTTTGTTTGTTTTGTTTTTTTTTTTGTTTGTTTGTTTGGTTTTTTTGGACAGGCAGAGTTAGACAGTGAGAGTGAGAGAGAGAGACAGACAGACAGAGAGAAAGGTCTTCCTTCCATTAATTCACCCCCTAAATGGCCCCTACGGCTGGTGCACTGCACCAATCCGAAGCCAGGAGCCAAGTGCTTCCTCCTGGTCTCTGATGCGGTTGCAGGGCCCAAGCACTTGGGCCATCCTCCACTGCACTCCTGGGCCACAGCAGAGAGCTGGACTGGAAGAGGAGCAGCCAGGACAGAATCCAGTGCCCCGATGGGGACTAGAACCCGGGGTGCCAGTGCTGCAGGTGGAGGATTAGCCTAGTTAGCCGCGGTGCTGGCCAACATGGTTTTAAATTATGCAGGTGTTGACATTGTGGGTGAATGATTAAACCTACCTCTAGAGCCATTTCTGTACAGATAGGAACAGAATTCAGCCAAACTGGAATGAAATGACTGCTCCTCTTACCTATAGGGTTATAGGGTACACATTCCAAGACTCCCAGTGGTTGCCTGGACCCATAGATAACACAGAACCCAGGTAGCCTATGTTTTGTTCTTATGTATTCATACCTATGATGAAGGTTAATTTATAAATTAGACACAATAAGAGGTTAAAAGCAGCTAAAAGAACAATTGGATCAGTATACTAAAATAAAACTTTTGTGAATGTGGACTCTCAAAATATCTATTCAGATTATCACATTTTCACTTAAAGGAAGTATTTACAGCTTTGTTGGTGTATCTCAATTGCCAGCACTACTACTTTTATACTTTGGGGACATTATAAAGTAAAATAAGTTTGCTTGAACTCAAGTAACTGTGGTACTGTAACAGCCACTGCTGTAACTCCATGACTAGCAGTCAGCTGGTGTATACAGCGTGGACAAGATCAACAAAGGGATGGTTCCTATCTCAGAAAGGATGGAAGGGCATAGTTTGAGATTTCATCACCCTATTCTGAATGGCAAGCCACTTTAAATGGATGCATTATTTCTGGAATTTTCCAAGTAATACCTTTGGATCATGGTTGACTGTAGGTAACTGGAGCCACAGGAAAGAAAACCTAGAAGCAAGAGAGGATTGTTGTCTGTGCATATCACTGTGCATTGGATTCTGTGGGCTTAGTAAGGGAACAGATAGATGCATTTTGTGGCTTTCTTGAGGATGTTTCTGCAGAGCAGCGGTCTGAAATCTACTAACCAACTTACCTGTGCCCCTTTCAAAAATGCTCCACTCTGTCAGGCTTCAGCAGCAAAATCTATTCCATGATTTCTCAGGGTTAGAGTTACTGGATGTTTGTTGCTCATCTTTCTCCAAGAAGATCAAGGTTAGTTATGTAAGCCACTGAGTCTCCCTCATCCAGAATTTGAACAGCAGTCTGGCTGGGGTGATGATTGGCAGGTGAGATGTCAGGTGTGATTGTAGCTGCACAGCCTGGAGGAAGGGAACAAGATTTGAAGGGAGGATGGGTGAATTGTCAACAGAGAGATCGATTCCTTTTCCCAAGAAGGCAGAGAGCAAGAGCACCACAGATGGCCAGCAGGGCACTTACTGGCATGTATTGATAGTTAACTTCTTCAACAAGCTGCCTATCACTTGGTGCTCCAATCTTAATTTATTATTATTTATAAATAGAGTCACATTTGGAGTTTATCTTGCTGTCTTCCTCTAGAATAGGTAGGCCACACATCAGTTTACTTGTCAACCTAAAGAAAGAATCACACTCTCCGTGACTTAACAGATCCTGGAGCTGTGTTGGGGGTAAGAAAAAGAACTTTTTAGACAGCTTATTGCAAAGACCTCAAGGCAATAGCTGCTTGTAAAGCCATTGCTTTATAAGAGCTGTCTTGACTATTTTGATTTATGTGGACTTGTTTGAGGAACATAAAGTGAGCTGAATTACAATGAACAAGAGATTGGCTTTGTTCATTTTGTGCCTCCTTCTCCAAAGGTCAAGCAAAAGACAGAGCACCAACTTCTACTTTGGGCTCACTAGGAGCCAAGGGCTTTCTTTCTGTCATCTTGATTCCCAGGTGGCATCTGCCCCTCCCATCTCACCTGGCTTGCATGTTCTACTCATGGTGCCTTAGGTAGAATGCATAGCTTCCTTAGTAAAGCATGTAGAGATACTCATCTGTGTGTCAGAGGATCTCAGAAAATTTGTAGAGAAAGTTGAACTCAAAGACTACTTAGTGTAAAAAAGTTTGAACTCCCTTCAAAGGTTTTTCATAATAGAGCTTTCTATGAACTTTTTGAAAAAACCTCATATGTGTATGTTTTTTCTGTATTTTATATATTACATATACACACAAGTGGCATACACTCAACTTAAACTGCCTGAGGCTGACAGGAAGCTGTAGTGGCTCACATGGACACCTGTTGGAGAGGTTAGGCATCCTTAGGAAAAAGGATGCAGCCCTTTTGGGTTTTCTGTCTTCATCAATTATCTCTGCTTCTCTTTCTGTGATTTTATTCTTTCCACTTTTTTCCACGCTGAGGGAGATATGGATGCCAACAGACCAGGATCAAATAGGTCTCCCTATTATTCTGTCCACTTACCATTCATCCAACATCAGTTTGAAAATTCTCGGGGAGTATGCAGATTGGCCCAATTTGAGACACATACTGACACCCTAACAATCTGCAGCTGGTGGAGCAGAGGCTGTGGACCCAGCTCTGGGCTGTGTTTCCACCTGTTAAACTAGGTGGGTGTGGGCATAAGATGCTAAGAGTGGCAGCCTCCATTAAAATCACTTGGTTCTAATATCAGGAATAAGTTCCTGAAAATAGTAGCATCCTCCCCACACCAAAGATCTAGGGACAAAACAATAGTTGTCTACCACAGTCATAAATTCTGCCAGGAAATGTTCAAGTTCCTAACAATAATACTGTATTGAAGAACATCAACAGTACACCATACTGGAGTTTATTTATTATATAGATTTTTGCCAAAAAAGACTTTGGCATTCGTGTTAGGACTATCATTTTGAACATCATTTATAGCCTATTCATTAGATATGCAGCAGTACTAATAAGTAGAGGCATCATTTGATGGAACTAGTCTTTGATGGAAACTAGTCTTTTTGAATACTCCAAACAAGTAACTATTTTGAGGACAACTGCTTGCCCCAGCTCAACTGTTACTTTGTATATTTGAACAGTTCCACCTCAATAGCATCCTTCAACATTCTATTTTTTTGGTATCTGTCTTTAGAAAGGGATGCAAGTTGTCACAGGTACCTTCATCTCCAACCTTGTTATTATATCCTCCCTATCACAGAGCTAGAGGAAAGTTATTTGGATGAAAAAATTCAGGTATAATAACTGTAACTTATCAAGAATGCTTCCTGTTTGCCAGGTGAAGTGCTAAGCACATCTAATCCAATAGCCACCTTAATAGGTAGCACTGTTTTTGATACCCACTTGATAGATAAGAAACTGAGGTCTGAAGAGGTGAGTGACTTGCACAAGGTCTACAGCTAGAAAGTTGCAAGCACAGAACTTGGGTTTGGTTGGTCTAGTTTCATAGTTCATGGTCGCATCCACTGTGCCAGCTGGGAACAGCCACCTAATCAATCACTGTAGTTGTCCCCTTTGCTTGTTTTACTTGCTTCTACCATTTCCTGGCTCACAGGGCTAAAGTCCCTGCCATGAGAGGAGGCTGTGCAGGCAAAGAGGGGCACAGAGCCAGGA